GGGGGCGTTCATAATTTTTCTCTCCCCTTCTTTGGCTGCCTTTCTCCCCCACCCGGAGAGAAAGCCAGAGAGAGGTCTTAAAGCAGGAAGAGAAACAAAAAGACCCAGAAAGCTGCTGCTGCCCTTACCTTCGTACATCGGGGCCGCCGGTGCAAGGGTTGTCTGTTATTCATGGCAACGAAAGGGAAATGAAGCAGGATTTCATCCCCCCCCTTCCCCGCCGCCGCCGCCGCCGCCAGGTTTTTAAACTCAATAGAAATCTGCCATCTTGAGCCGATGCCTCCTCTCCGCGCCGCCGAAACGTCCAGCAGCCGAGGCGGCCGCCTCCTGCATCTCCTCCGCGCGAGCCTTTCAGCGAGGAGGGCGGCGGCAGAAGAAGGGGCGAAAGGAGGCGCGCCGGCGGCGGCCAGCGGGAGAGCCCTCCATAAAACAAGCCGCTGTAGCCTTTGAAAATGCTTTTCTATACTAAAAGGCACGTTGACAAAGAGTGTTTTTTTCTAAGATATTGCGAAGAGTTATATTGGTGGCTATTTTTATACATTCCCATCACATTTAACGTTGCTAGTGACAGAATGAAAAAAAATCCATTTGACCTAGAAATGCAGTAGATTCACTGACTCACCGGGCTGCTCCTCACGTCCTGCTGTTCCCATCAAATGGAGCAGAGAGATGTCTGTCTGTTATATCAGCATCTGGGAGTCGCAACACTGCTTATGGTTATCTGCAAAGAGGCAGCCCATCTCATGGATGACAAACAAGGGCTGGCATCTGGGAGAAGCCAGATGCAAGGGGGGGCTCGAGCGATTTCCCCCCTCAAAAGCTCTCAGCTCAACATGTCTGTCCGCCCGCCCGCCTGTCTGCGTCGTGGGAGGGGAAGGGGCTTCTGCAAAAGTTGCATTAGAGGCGAGGGGGAGAAGGCGACTGAGAGAGAGAGAGAGAGGGAGGGAGAGGGAGGGAGGAGGGAGGAGGAGGGGAGAAAAGAGCACAGGGAGTTTGCAAATAGTCAAATACCGATGGCACGGATCGCGGTTTCCCCAGGAGGGAGGGAGGGAGGGAGAGAGAGAGGAGCCGGCGCGCGCGATCGCCAAACAAAAAAAAGAAAACAGAACCGCCAAAAAAAAAAGAAGAGAAAACAAAACAAAAAGCGCCCGCCTTGGGCGAGATAATGGGGAGATCTTGTTGAACAACCCATTTCAATCAAGGAACAGGAGGAGGGAGGGGGAGGGGCAAGGAGATCTTTTGGAGCAGGGAAAAAGAAGCCCGGGTTCCCTCAGGTTTTGTCCCCGGTTCGCGGCTTCGGGTTAAAAAAAAATTGAAAGGCGTTGCAAAGGCTGTTCCGACTGTAAGCGGCTTGGGGCAGAGACCTATCCTCGGGTTTTTCCTCCCTGTTTGCTATCGCAAGGGCGCTGATAACCCTTGTCAGGTGCTCGGAGGGGAACAGTCGCCACGACAAGTTAAGGCTTGCTTTTGAGTTGGTGGTAGATGAGGCTTTATTTATATCAAACATGGACAGGCTTTATTTATATAAAATGTATTTATATAGCGACTTTAAAGACGTTGATATTTCATAGAGCGGCTTTACAGCACCGCGGTACACTGCACATTTTGCAACGCAGTTACTTATTTTGCAATAAAATAAAATGAGCTAGAACATTCCTCCCCTTTCCAAGTAAATGTTCTGTTCTCTTGTGTTTTGTAATCATGAGCCCCAGACAACAAGTTCTAGGCTGCCTTCGTTTTAAAAACATGTTATAAACAGGGCAACTATTTGTGGGATGTATTCTCAGATAAAGATACACTTTTTCTTTGAGCCCCCCCTTCCTCTCCGAAAAAAAAAAGCCACATCAAAGGAATGATTACAATTGAGCATGACAGGCTGGGAGCCCCCCTCCTGTGTTCATTTTAAGCCATCCATCCCTTTTGCTCAGTTTCTGCCCTGCTCATGCCAACTCTTTTCTTAGAAGTTGTCTTCAGGACATTCCCCCTGGGGCTGCTGGAAAAACCTTTCTTTCTTTATATAGAAAGTAATCTTAGAGAGGTCTCCCCACACAGTATAGCTACTTTTTCACAGTACACTTGTTGGCTTTTGCATGACTCCTGGAAGTGTTGTGGTTTTTTAAAAATCAACATAAAGGCCAAAATCCGATAGGGCTTTGTGCAATTCCAAAGTCAGGCTCTCATAACTGGTGTGCATGATTGTGCCGGCTGTCCTGTTGTGTGCTCGGGCACGCCCTTGTGCATTTGATTAAGTGTCTTGGGAATGCAACAGATGGCAGTTGTGAGAATTGTTTGCTTAATCTGACTTCCACACGCTGTATTTCACAATATGTTTTTGAAGAATTGTAGAGGCCTGCCACTGAAGGGCCTGTCAGGTGCCTCTGAGTGCAAGAGGTCATCGTTAGTTGGTAGTTTTTCAGTGCTTTGAAGTAAGGAAGGACAGTATAAATAACAAAATCACACACAGTGGCCCAAATCCTGTTGGGCACAGCTCGCTACCTGCAAGGCTGGTGACATCATCAGACTTATACATGGAGCTACACCGATAGAATTCTAGCTAGTGAGCTACTTTTTTCGGCAGAACAGGCATAGTGGACTTGGCAGCTGAAGAAGAGTACACATTTCCAAGTTACTTTTCAATAAGATTTTAAGCGGACCTCAGAAAAGTTACTTTAGATTGCAGCCTGCAAACTCCTCCTTGTTGTGAACAGTGGCCATGCTAGCTGGGGATTTTAGGAGTTACACTTCCAAAAAAGGAACATTTCAAAACTTGCTTTCTAAGGAATTTATATGGCATTTTGCATGGAATTGTTAGAGCTTTCTTCCAGTCGTTTACCAATTCTAAATCTTCTCTCCCCCAACTAAAAAAAAAAACAATGAAAAGTTAAAAAAAGGAGTCATTCTGATTAACCTCTAGATTAGCCTTGCTTATGCTTAAACACAAGATATATAAAGCAAGAGAGCAACTTTTTTCAAAGAGAATACAGACTGACGTCACATCAGGCATTATCTTAAAAGACACCCGCTCCTATGTGGGATGGAACTATCTAAGAACACCTCTTGAAGTGATGCTTGCCACCTACAGTTCTAATACGTACAGGCGCTTGGACTAAAAACAGCATTTTAAAAATCTGCCTTATTAAAGGGGTCATTCTTTTAGCCAACGGAGAATACACTCCCAGGCACACTTTCTGGGAAGTAATCCCTACTGAACATCACAGGGCCTGATTCTCATTAAACACGCATAGGATGGTACAATAAATGTCTTTTGATCAATTAATCTAATCAATTAATTGAAGTCACATGGAAAGTTGGAAGTTGAATAATGACAATAAAACAATAAAGCTACTGTGCTAAGATGATAAAACAGCAATCACAGTCCCAATCCACAGAGTTGGACTGTGGACAATCCATGACAAATGGAATGCCCCAAGAATGGGGAATTCGTGCACTGCTTCTTCATAAATTACTTAATAAACACATTTTTGTTCAACACAGTGCATACATGCTACCTGGCAATGAAGGCCAAAGGAGGTCCTAAATGTTTTTGCCCCTAGGGGGTAAGCGTACCAAGCAGATAGCCTTGTTGCAACTCCTATGACCTTATTATGGCACGATTCTTTACAGTATTGAAAGTACTGTATTTCATATCCACTTTTTGTAGCAACCATCCAATCATCCTGCAAAGTAGGCCAGTATTATAATTTTCACCAAGCAAAGGAAGAGTGAAAGGGTGGCTTGCTATGGGACTTTCCAAAATGCTCATTATAAGAACATGGGGACATGGAAGCATTGGGCTCCTGTAGACTTGCACCTGCCTCATAAGTAGACATATGACAGTGAAGCTATTCTTCTTCCCTATGCAACTAGTCCTGAGTTCCACAATATTGTTTCCTGTCACAGCTATCAGTCCAGTCCTCTGCCACTGTTCCTTCCTTTGGCTGTTGTTTGGTACCCAGTTAGAGTGATATGAAACTACTACAACCAAGTACGTAATGTAGACATATTGCCCACCACAATCTTCCCTGCTGTGGTACAATGTATCATATTGCTATTTTAATTATAACAATATCTTGCGGCGGTGTAAGGACTAATAAGTGTATTTTATGTCATTAGTTTTGAGAACTATGTGGGATTCATGAATTAATATTTTAATTATAATCATTATTTCCAGATATGCTTGTATGTCTCCAAATTTTTAGCAGGTGTGTGTTTTAAGACCTCCCATATTCCTTTTCTTTCTGGTGATGCTTTTCCCCTTTCCTCAGCAATGTGCACATCACTGCCCTATGCAAGATTCTGTCCTGAAAAGGAAGAGGGAAAGAGGTTTGTGGGGACTGGATGTTTGCACATTTTTTCCACGGTAACCTGATCATACAGAGAGGCTTTGCATGTTGCTTTACATGGCTGTGCCTTCAGAAAATAGAGGTTATTTATTATTGATTTATTTACATGTATATTCAGCCTTTCCTCTGAAGAGCTCATGCCTGTCAGTCCCTTTCTTCTTCTGTCTTCATAGCCATCCTGTGACATAAGTTCAGTTGCCCATCTTGGTTAATAATATCTAGAAGTGGATTGATTGGATGCCTAGGAGTAGGAATTTCTGAATAGGAAGCTAGGGTAGAGCTAGGCCCTCTGAGGGAGCAGGTAGGTGGCCCTGGGGGACTCCTTGAATCATCTTTATCACTTGAGGCTCAAGTTAGCACAAGTGGGTTGGGAAGCCTGGGCAATCTTTCATTGGCCCATCAGCTACAACAGAGGCAACCTGGCTACAGTAGTTCATGCACTGGCAACCTCCTTGTTAAACCACTCTAGTGCAGTTTATGTAGGGCTGTCTTCAAAGATGACATGGATGCTGCGGTAATGCAATATGTGGCAGCGTGACTGCTAGCAGGAACAGCATTCAGAGCCCATATGGCACCCGTTCCGAAAGAAATGCACCGGCTGCAAATGCACTTCCTGTACAAGTCCAAGGTGTTGATGACAACCTATAAACCCTAAACAGCTTAGGACCTGGATCAGATCATTTTTTGTTTAATAGACCAATAGCCAAACGTACAAGTAAATGTACAAAAACAGTAAAACACACATATAAAAACATATACTAAATTAAAAGCATCCTAACAGAGTAATACATTATACTACCTTAGTCTTAGGATCTGGATATTTGAGGGAACATCTCCCCCTACGTACAACTGCCTAAATTAAAAGCATCCTAACAGAGTAATATATTATACTACCTTAGTCTTAGGATCTGATATTTGAGGGAACATCTCCCCCTACATACAACTGTCAATTTATCAGGATCTGCTTAAGGGGCATGGGCTCCTTTGTATTCCACCATGGAGAATGACCCACTAGGTAAAGATGCAGAAGAGGTCTTTCTCACTGGTAGCCTGTCATGTATGTTATGCCCTCCCCTTGGAGGTTGAATT